GCCACGTCAGTGGCTGCCCCACTCAGCCCCAGCTCCCAGTTCTTTAGGAAAAAAAAGGCAAACAAACAAACAAACAAAAAAAAGCCCTGCACTCGCTGGCTGCTGCGTGGCTGTCGGGGCTTCTAGGGGCTTGTGGCAGGGGCCCCCACGCAGCACAGGGCAGTGGGCATCGGCCTTCGCCTGGCAGCAGCCAATGACTGTGGGGCTTAAAAAAAAAAAAAAAAAAAGAGCCAGGATGCTGGGGCTGGGCAGGGCAGCCATTGGCAGCAGCAGCCAAATCTCTGAATCAGACTTGGCCGAATCAATTCGGGACAGTGATTTGAATCACCAAATTGAATCACTGCCCCCCCCAAAATTGGCCGAATCAGAATAGAATACTAGCCACTTTGCACAGGCCTACTTCATAGACAGTCAGTTTTGTACAAGTTTCCCTCGCTTTATGCTGTACCTGTGCTCCTGGAAAATGGCACATACCTTGAATTTGCATAAAGGGAACCCACTTTACAATGTAACAAATAGGGATATGTTCCAAGACCTTGACTGTACTGATCCCCAGACCCATTTCTACCACTTGTACAAGACAATTTTGGTACTCACCAACAGCAGAGAGGGGTAGGAGATAAGCTAGCAGGACACTTAGACATCATAATGGAGATGGCAACTACAGAAACACATGACACTGACAATGAGCAAGAAGCACAGATCCACACAGGAGACTATATTTTGGTGTGCACCACTCGCACAATGCACCGCACAAAGCAGCTGACTGCAGACTTCCACCGTAAGAGTGAACGTCTCACATATACAAATTTTTTGGTATAAAAAGAGTCATCGCATAAGAGCAAATTCACACAGAACCCTCAAAGCGAAGGAAACCTGTATTCATGAACTTAACTGCTCTTCACCAAAAGGTAGTGCTTTGCACTTTAACTGCATTTTGTTGATCTCGGATCTTCCCTTCAAATCAAGTTTATTTTGCATTCTGTCTCCGAAGTACTTGTAACCTCTCCCTTGTGCCCGGGGGTCATCTTCAGATTTTACAGGCACATATTTTGTCCCATCATCCAAGTCATTAATGAAAATACCGGACCCAGCCCAGACTCCAGTAGGACTCCACTGCAGAAATGCTCCCAGGAAATATGATGTAGCTAAAATTACCATTAGGTAATTTAGGATAAAACTGCTTAGGGAAGCTATAAATTGTTCAGGGCCAAATTATTTTACTTACACCATACTTACGGAGTTTATGCCATTTGCAATGGGGGTAAAAGCTGCGCTAACGTCAGGACCTATCACACCTACTGATTCCCTCCACAACATCCACCTTTTCATCATATCATCCTAAGGTGCTTGTAGGCCTTGAGGCAGGAGCAGGCAAAGTCCAGCCCATGGGCCAGATCACGCCTGCAGACAAGTCCATTTCCCAGCAGCCCCCACCCACCTTGCTGTGGCTAGTTTCCATAGAGACCCTAGGAGCGGCGGGGGGGCCGTAACGGCGCAGGGCCATGAAGACTGGCCCCAGCAGTGCTGGCAGGGCACATGGCTGGGCGGGGCTGGGATCTTGTGGCAGTGACAGTGTGGTCCGGAGCCAGGGCAGAGCTGTGATCTCCTGCCCGCACGCCCCGCTCTGTCACTGCCCCACCGCTCCTGGCCCTGCTCTGTCACTGCCCCACCACTCCTGGGGTCTCCATGGAAACTGGATGCAGCAATGTGGGCAGGGGCTGCTGGGAAATGGAGTCTGGCCAGATTTGCCATTTTGCCTTAAGGCCTCACATAGGTTGCTTAATAATTTGTTCTAAAAACTTTCCAGGAATCAAAGCCAAATGGACTAGCTTAGAATTCCTGATGTTCACTCCTGCTTTCTAAAGGGCTGATAATATATTTATCCATGGTCAGTCATGTAGGGTTTCCCTCCTACTCAAACATAACTTGCTAATGGCTCTAAGACTGCTTTGTCTAGTTCCTTAAGCATGAAGTGAAGCAAGAATAACAAGTCCTGCTACCTTGTATACATCTTTCTAATTAAATGTTCTTTAACCTGTAATTTCCCTACTCTCCTATCCCATTGCTACAAATCATTTTGTGAAAAATAATTTTGCTAGGTAGCTGGTGACAGTGCAGATTTTTTATGAAGACTGAAGCAAAAATAGGTGTTGAGCACTTCACCTTTCTCACCAGTGTCCTTTTTTCCTCCCCTTCTCTACTTGGTACTTTGCTTTTATCTAGATCTTACTTCTAGATTGATTAATAGATTCAGAGACTGTAAGGGGCTGGAAGGGACTTTGGAAGATCATTGGGTCCAGCCCCCTGCACCAGGCAGGAAAGACAGCTGAGATCAGGTGAAAGAAGAACTTCTTTCGTTTTGCATCCCTTCTTAATTTTAACTCATCTTGTGCCTTACCCTTACTAGCTAATTTTACTTCTACAAGTTTGTGCTATTCCTTGATACACATTCTTAGTTCTGTGTCCTTGTTTCCACTTTTTGTACTAATCCTTTTATTTTCAGGGCCCCTCTACACATGCAAGTCAAGGCATGATGGGATCTAGTATGTCATCCAAATAATCATGCCTCCTGCCATGCCACACATGCATGGCAGGAGCCACAATTTTAGGAGTGTGTATTCAGTTGAATCAGGCCTTATTGCCAGTGCAGGGGGAGCTCAGGATTGGGCTCCCCCTGCACCAGCAAGCTCCCCTGGCTGGAAGCAACTTCACACTGGGCACAGTGCACCTCTGTGACTGGGAGCCCTGCCAGCTGACAGGGCTCCCACCTGCAGGACAGACCTTGATACATGTGCAAATTAAAGCTGTTACAACTTTGAACAGTCTCTCTCAAATGTCTGTTCTCCTGCACTACTTTTCCCTTACAGGATCTTCAACAGAACCCACTTACCATTTCTCTGAGTTTCCTGAAGTCCATTATCCTTATTTTACTGCTCTTGCTTCTTCCTATTCTTAGAACAGCACACTGTGTGACTGCTTTCAAACCAATTATCCTCTACCTTCAACATACCATATTCCACAGTCCACCAAAACAGCCGGTTTCTATCAAAAATCAGAAAAGCAAGACATATGTCAGCCCAGTAAGGAAGGATACTCTTAGGGGCACTTGGCAAAACCTTGGCTACTCCCTCCTGAAGTTCATAAATCTATAACAGAGCTCTGAACCAGTGAACAAGGTGTGTGGGCAGGGAGAAGAAGTCTTGGATAACTTCAATATAAATAGCAGACATTTGGGAGATCGGGGGTTCTTTTTTAAATAAATCTGATATCACACCTCCATAAGGCTCAGCTGTCCACATTCTAAGCTGAATTTCATTTTGTATACTGAATATTTTAGATGTAAAATACCATGAAAAAAAGTAACAAGTTTTTTGTTTTTTTTGTTTTTTGTTTTAGTGTGAGGTTTGTTTTGTTTTCTTTTTTAATAAGGTATAAGGCAAAATAAAGCAGTATAGTAACAAACTTATGAAAGCTATACATTTAAGAACAGCAAGCAAGCATTATAAATACAGGCAGCTTGTTACCTTCCCAAACCGGCTGCCACCAATTAATTCAGATCAGTCAAGTTCCATCATACTCTACACGCAAGTTAAAGAACCTGCTGCAGGATGTTCAACAATCAAAAGCCACATGCATGTTTAAACTTGTAAGATCACAAAAGAACACCACAGAGTAAACAGAAGATCAAAGACCGATGGGATGAAAGGATACATTTTAATTTTACTTCAAAGTATAGAAGCACAGGTAATAGTCCCCTTTCACATAGTCAGAATGAGGCAGTAATACAAAACCAATGGCAAGGCTGGAACTAGAACTCAGGTCTCTTGTTCTTCATGCCAGCTATTGCCAAGATTGCAGATTAGTTTTACATTGTGTATGTCTAAACCAGGAAAATGTTTGTCTGTGTTTAAAATAACAGGGGTTAACCACCATTAAGCTGTCACCCATTGGCAAAAAAAAAAAAAAAATCACACACAAAACACACAAACAAACTAGGATTTACAGTCACCAGCTTTCATGATTACACCCATAATTTTTTCAAAGCAAATAAACTGCAATCAAGGCAGAAGGTCACTGCCTAAGGCAGGGGTGGCCAATTATTTCAGCTGGAGAGCCACTTTATAAGTTTTGGTGAGCTGCTGAGGGCCACACACACAAAATATTTTAGAAGATATCATTTTAACACGTTATAGATTAAAAAACAATTCATATAGTAGATATTTGTTTTCTAGTATATTTTAATTTTATTTCAAAAAATAAAATTGTCCTGATTTGTTTTTTTTGAGTACTGTATATAAAGGTGATTACATAATAGCTCAAAATAAAGTCTTACTCCTGCATATTGTGCGTGTGGCCGGGTGGGAGAGTGTGTGGGGGTGGGGTGTGGACGTGTGTGGGGGGCTGCCCGCACACTAGGTCCCAGATGCTGGCTGGGGGAGGGCAGGGGGAGACCAGGTGTGCAGCAGGGCTCGCCAGGCAGTGCAAATATGATCCACCCCCCGCCCCCCCAGGGCACTCCGCATGGGACTGAGCCCCACTCGCTCTGGCCAGTCTGCACCATGCTCCTGCCCAGTTCTAGCCCCAGCCAA